ATGTAGGCGATGAGTAGGTGGGAATAGTAGATATAAGTATATTAGATATGATGTTGGAGATAGTATATAATGATATTAGATATAGAAGTTGGAGATAGGTATATATGTGATCTAGATATCAGTTTGAGTAGAACTATGTTTAATATATTGAAGTAATTAGATATGAGTTGGAGATAGTAGAATGTTATTAGATATGAGCTAGGAATAGTATTAGATATGAGTTGGAGATAGTATATATTGTATTAGTATGAGTTGGAGATATGTACTAATATAAGTCATTAGATATGAGTTGGAGATAGTATATATAAGTATTAGATATGAGTTGGAGATAGTATATATATTAGATATGAGTTGGAGATAGTATATATAAGTATTAGATATGAGTTGGAGATAGTATATGTAGCTGTCCGGCTACGTTGTCTGCCGTTGGCGTGTTATCGATTTAAACTGTTTTCAGCGAGAAAAACGCACACATAGCCTTATGATAAAGTGTTCGCTTATTTCTACTGTGAGCATAGCTTGTGCGCTTGTCGTGGTTTTAACTGAAATTACAAAGAAAAATACGCCAGCTGTTAAACGTTACGCTACAACGAGTTGGTTACATGGCGTAGCAAACAAACCGTTATAACTAAATTTACCACAAACTAAAGTATTCTATATAACTTATCTATAATATTAGTGTAAGATCGCACGCACGCACGCACGCACGCACGCACGCACGCACGCATGCACGCAAGCACGCACGCACGCACACACACACACACACAGCAATAGTTCCCCTACACGCGCGGCTATGCAGGCTCCCCTGTCGTTCACCGCGCTCACACGTGGCGTGTGCGTTTGGCCGCTTCCCGGTGTTTTTCAAAGCCTTTACTGCCGGGGAGTCGTGCTGCGCTACGAAACCAGCTAATGTAATTTACTGCGCCAATCCAGATCTCTCGTCAAAAACATGCCGCGCTAGAGGTTCCAAAATAAACTCCCCGGGCGAGCGGACGGGGCCGTCAACACTCGCGCTCGACGCCGCTACGCTCGAACCCTGTCTCTATGAAAGCTAATATACCGCTGCCTGCCTGCGTCCGTGTGACGTCACCGAATAATTAACCAGCCAGCTGCCGCCGCCGCTGCCGCCCCTGTACACGCTACGGAATGAAATTTAATGCAGAAATATGAATTCCTTAGTATGTAGCATAGTATGTAGTATGTAGTATGTAGAATGTAGTATGTAGAATGTAGAATGCCGCGGTGAGTTGATACTATCGCATCGCTGTTTACCTGTGGTCATGATCACCTTCTCATTTTACAAACAAATCATCCGCAAGCGTGTGTCACGATGGTTTCACCAACAGCAGGTTGCTGCAAGTGCAGCTGCTATCACCAGGAGTAAATAAAATTGAATTACTTGGCCTATATTATCAAGAGTGAATAATAATAGGTTATTATCCATATTATGATAGATCTATTATTCACTCATGATGTTACCAACCGCCTAATTATTTTGCTCGATGCATTCATGCTCTCACAGGTAACGGTGACTGCTTGGAAATGAGCAAATCATCCGACCTGCAATACGTGCGGGCGAAGGCATGCAATGCAGCTAACGCTTTCATCTGCGCTACATTGGAGCCGAACGCTCTAGCAACGGGTAAGGCAGTGTCTAGTTCGCACTCTTTTGATCGATTGATTTGTGTATTTGCCAAGAGACAACTAAAGAGTGGGTAGATAAGGTGTTTAGATATATCAGCTCAAAATGTAGCAAAGCCAAATAAATATATTTGGTTGCTTGGGGGGGGGGGCAACATCTTAATTCGCGCATATTTAACTTTTTTCTCCTACGTTCGCGTAGTACGAATGCGATTTGTAGTGTAACGAAAGGGAGCCACGTATGTTTTGCAAGCCAACAAATCTAACTTAAGCTTAGAATCTGTGAACAGATTGAAATATTATTATATGCTTAATTGTTAAGTAATATGCATTAATGTAGAATTGAAGCCATTCATTGGTACATTGGTTCTGGAAAGTCGCTAGCTCAACATTTAATGTATAAACGTACTATGAGTCAAACTACTATTACCTATATATCATTATATTATATTATATAGCCTATATATCATTATATTATATTATATGACCTATTTATCATTGTACATCTGCGCGCGTGCGTGTGGGTGCGCGTGTGTGTAGTGTAATTGTGCGTGTGCGTGTGTGCGTGTGTGCGCGCGTGTGTGTAGTGTGATTGTGCGTGTGCGTGTGTGCGTGTGTGCGCGCGCGTGTGGTGTGCTTGTGCGTGCGTGCGTGCGTCCGTGTGCGCGCGTGTGTGGTGTGGTGAGGCATGTGCGTGAGTGCGTGCGTGCGCGCGCGCGTGTGCTGTTGTGCGTGTGCGTGTATGCGTGGTGCATGCATGCATGCGTGCGTGCGTGTGTGCATGGTTGTGCGTGTGCGTGCGTGTGGTTGTGCGTGTGCGTGCGTGCATGGTTATGCGTGTGCGTGCGTGTGTGGTGCATGCGTGCCTTGTACAGGCCCGTACACACACAGCTCACTCACTATTTCCTTATGTTCTGCTATTTGACGCAGCTGACACCTATTCCTACCAATGTCTGTGTCCGGTCGGTTACCGAGGCTTGCACTGCGAACAGCCGCATGAAGACGAACCAGGTGAGTCTGTACTGCTAAGCTTCACACAAGCAGCAGGCTAATGCTGCTGTAACTCTTTTGTTACACCAGATTGTATATATATATATAATCAAGAGCTAATAATACATAGAGTGTACAACGGAAAAACGGGAAAATAGTGCTATTTCACGACAACATTATTCTACTTTGCCTGCGAGTAATTAACCTTCGTGACCATGAGGAATCGGGGGCAGCATATAATATCAGATGCACTGCCATGGTGTGTCCGTGACCGCATCTATAATAAGAAAGGCTGATGTTATGCCGTCACCCGTCAACATGAGCCTATACGCACACGCACTCACAGGACAACAACAGCTGCAGATACATACATATGCGATCATATATTTACTCAATTAATTTGGATTCTTCCGCGTGAAATGAAGACGCGCACGTGCGAGGTGTGAGTTTCAACTGCGCTAACCTTGGCTTTCTTTTTCATACATTACTCTAATACTCTAATACCCGCAGCAGCCCCGCGCGTATATATATATATACACGACAAAAAAGCGATGTTTTCATTTAGGCCCGTGACTGGGTCTGATGATCCGCAACACATGACAACACATGGCAACATATGGGCAGCAAGGCAATGATGTGCTGCTCTGACTGGCACCCGGAAACGGTCGCATCCTTCTTCTGCTTTGAGTTTGCTATCGGCATCATGTTACGGCCAGTAATACCATAGTATGGCCGGTAGTACGGTCATAATCGGTGATAAATGTGGTGAAGCCGAAATGCTTAGACGCGTGAAGGATGGGGACAGAAGTGGATTCGAGGCGGCGTTTGGCATGTGGGAGGGGAGGTTTAGGAGCCGATATCTCCGCCTAGGAGTATCGTATTGACAAGCGGTTGGTCTTGTTTTAGAGAGCAAAGAATTCTGCTTAATACAATACCATGAAATTATTATAGACTCGCAGGCAAAGTAGAATAATGTTGTCGTGAAATAGCGCTATTTTCCCGTTTTTCCGTTGTACACTCTATGTATTATTAGCTCTTGATATAATATAATTTGAAGTTTTAGATACATCTGTAAAACATATGTTACACTGTGATTGTCGCAGAGCTTTGGTAATTCTTGAATGTAATATCGTACGTGATGTGAGTAAATATATTGTACATGAGCTACAGTGTCCATATTAAATACATTCACGCGCATGCGCAGAGGTAATCACGTGATATAACGAGAGAAACGTATCTTGTAAGTTGCTAATGCTATTGGAAAACTTCAAGAATCTTATTGGAAGATTTATTAATAATTAAATTATTGCCTTTATAATAAGGCAAATGTTATGTTATACTTTTAAAGGAAAGAGCATCCATCTGTTTAAGTCCATCAGTTATGTGCCTCTCATCGTTAAACGGATACAACAAATGAGAAAAAAAAAACAATATTAAAATTTCGGTTAATGGCCGTAATTAGGGTATATATAATAAATCAATAAACCTGTCCAATAAACACGAGCATTAAATCGCTGCATTTCCGTGATCAACATCGGAAATTTGACAATCAATAATGTTCACGTTGACAGATGCGAAGCCGCGGTCACTGGTAAATAGGTCAATAAAGTCGCCTGAGAAGTTAATTAACATGTTGCAACTTTTAGCATCACCTATATTAAATATACTTTTATACTACTGATATGTGTAATTATACGACGTGTTGATTTCCAAACGACGTGAAACAATCTTCTTAGCTTATCTGTGTTTTCGTGCGTGCGCGTGCCAGAACCAACGACAACATGTGAAATATTTGTAATTTTCGCGAAGCGGTCGTATACTTTCTAATCAACGTTCTAATAAATATTAAATACCGTCATTTCTTAATGAGTATTACTATTAAATTGACCTACGAGCATTTGTCGCACGAAATACCTTAGGGAACAAGTGGCTTTGGGCCTTTTTTGTTTCAACACTTTTTTTATATATAAAAACGTTGAAATTTAATATTACAGTAATTATCGAAGATGTGAATTTGATATTCAATTAGTGCGGAAATTGAATAAACATCACAATCGAGTGCTAAATTAAATGTCTGTGCCTAATTTTGTGAATAATTTATAAATTAAATGGCGACGTTATAATTATCCTATATTAAAACTAGCTAATTAATCACGAGGCTGTAATGTAAGAGTACTCTGACAAGAAACCCTTAACAGTCTGTGCAATATAATCCCGATACTTTTCTTTTACTCTGCATTTATTCTGAATTTATGCTCTTCTATTTTTTCCACTCAAGTTTGAGAGAAGGCTAGATGGTGCTTTTTATTATATAGCTTTATATTGTATAGCTTTATATTATATTGCTTTATATTAAATAGCTTTGCACGACGTACTTGACACGTGACACATCCATCGAATATGATTATTGACACAACTTGTCGTAAATCAAATATACGAGTTTAATGAAGTGCTACCAGATGAATAGGCAAAAAAATGTGACCAATACGGGAATTAGATTGGACATGCTGTCATGGAAGCTACAAATCTATAAAGATATTATGATTTTATATCAAACATAGGTCTATGCTAATTATTCGGCATGATATACTCGGTATATAGACACTAATCAGATCATTTTAAATATTGCCGAGTAAACGGTAATTGCTAAATTTTGTAAACGCGCTGCACAATACACACCGCGTATTATATGTTTAGAATCCACTGAAAACCCGCCGAGAACTGCCGATTGTAGGATTGTGTCACAATTTTCACTAAAAAGTGAAAGAGGTTTGCTACGCAAAAATTATCACATTTTACCGTGGCCCTCCACCCTTTGTTCCGACTAAATGAACATGCGCAAGGATTGTCTTGCGAAGACACGTGTCCTTTTAGCGATGCGGCTTTTTACCCGAGGTCCCGATAAAGCTAGAACCTTTTTATCACAACATACTGCTAATATGACGTCACCTCGCTTGTGTTACAGGTAGTCCGAGCAATCACGTGTTCTGTGAGAATCAGAAGTTCTCGATCTATTGCTCGGGGGCGATGCACCTGAGCTTTGACTATGCGGCCTATGGCTACATAGGAACTACAACCTCCTGTCAGTCCTACGTCTCCTATAGCGACTGTCTGGCCTATAATTCACTCTCGTTAATACGACAGAGGTGCATAATTACGGCTGACGTATTTAAGACAAAAAGCGTTATGTATTGACTTTATATTATTACGTTATATATTACACAAACACACACACTCAGAGGGAGAGAGCGAGAACGAGAGAGAGAGAGAGAGAGAGAGAGAGAGAGAGAGAGAGAGAGAGAGAGAGAGA